GTGTTCACCTATGACTGTGGTGTTCAGACACAGAAAAATTACAGCAGGAAACAGAGTTGCCTCTGAACCTCAGCATCAAAGATTCTACCAGCAGCCTTGGTGATCATCAAAAGCCAGAAGACGACTTGGATGAAGAACCATGTGACCAGAGGCAGACTGCAGCGTTGGCTCTCTGTCAGTTGGCCAGTGCCAGCTCCAGTGTCGCCCTGTGTGGTTTTGGCTCAGCCCAGAGTTTAAATGATTCCAGAGATACTAGAACACTGAGCTCCTCTGACGGGACCAAGCACAAATCAACCGTCATGAAAAGAGCAAACAGGGGCGAGGTCGATGAAAACCACCGCCATAAACCAAACAAGAGAGTGAAAGTTCCAGGACGGGTTCTGAGGAGGAGGTCTCGCTGATGCTGTGACAACAACATTCAACATTCGTCATTTGCAAACCTTTAAAACTGCAACACTGATCAAAAATAAAATATTCATAAGCACTAAAAAAAATTCAGCATTTCCTTTGTGTACAGGTACAAAAGTCCCCAAGTTCTGATTTGAAAAGAAGATGCTGTCACAGGTCTGTGACACACTGTGGGTGGTTGCTCATCTGATTAACATCTGAAAACATTTTATATGGGTTTGTATATTTAAATGTATTTGTATAGAGTGGGTATTGTAAAATACGACAATGCACTGAAAATGAAAAACATAAACATTAAATAAAGACTTTTAAAATGCAAAAGTTAAAAACTTTGCTGTTTATACCATTACCATCAGTATTGCTTCACAAAAATAATGGAAACTTAACATTACCCAGTGGTCTAGTCCTTAAAACTACTGTATGTGGCTGGTCAGCTTAACATAGCACAGAGTTGTATTGTTTTATGGAGCTGTACAGCATGAAAAATGATACCCATTTAAAAAACAGTATCCATACTTCACTGACACGTTTATGCCTCAGTTGACTTTAATGTTGACATGGCAACTTTTTATCTATTGGGCCATCTTACTTACACCTACTGGTTCTATTTTCTCCTAAATCACTTGGAAAAGTAAAAAGTAAAAAAAAGAAAAAAGAAAGAAAACACAGAGAGAGGGTGACATCCCTGCAGATGTCTACATCATTTTCTTTTTGTCTTTCAAAAAATTAAGTTTATAAAATTATAGTGTGGTCCATTTTTTGTAAATTCTTTGAAAACATATACCTAGTAAACACGTACCATCATTCAATCTGGAGGGCAGCAGCAGACCTCGTCTCCCAAGTTCTGCCAAGGCCAGGCAGCCTCCATGCCAAGCGTTGTCTGTTTCCTGAAAGCTTGACATCAAACACAAACAACACAAGTGAAAACAGAAAAAAAACAACTCATGTTTAACAAGAATGCCTCAAAAGAGCCTCAGGTACTAAGGTAAAAAACTTCATGAAATCAGTTTGTTACTGATGCTGCAAAACACGCCTCAGGGATCAACTAACCTGAAGCAGTCCAGCATTGAGCCAACAACCTCATCTGCCAGCTCCTTGGGGAGTCTCCCAGTCAGCCTCCCCATCCTGAAGAGTTAAAAAAAAACAGATTCCTTTGGAGAGGCTGTCTTTGACATGAATCATAACAAAGACAAGTAGCTACAAGAACAATTTATCAGCTCTTAAATGTGCAACACATAGGTACAAAGTTGTTTTCCCTCAAGAAAATGCATTTATCTCGAAAGGAATTCTTATATATCTTATATATATATATATGTATATATATATATATAAGGTTCATAAATACATTTGAACAGACAAATATATGTCACATAACTACTGTCAAAATGAAAAAGCTGATAAAATCTAGCTTAAACATGGCATAAACCAGTGAAGTTTATTTAATAATTTATGGCTTAACAATATAGTGTTACATACAAAGCGAGAAGGTTCTGAAGAGCAGTGAGAAGGTTTGATTAAGACAATAAGACTATACCAATGTTTGAAGAAGGAATGGAGAGACTGAAACTCAAACTATAGACAACAGCTGTTGTTAATATAATGCGTGTAAATGTATATGATAATGGTAATAAATCTTGTAAATAATAATAAAGGTTTATAATTTAAGCTAGTACATTTATTTGTAATATATTTTTAAATGATTTCTTCTGTATTACGGTGTCTAGAAAATACTAAAAATACATTACTTTTATCCTCAACACCACAAAAGGACACACTCACCCTTTGGCTGCAGACCAGCGCACAATTGTTTCCCGATCTTTCAGTCCCACCAGCAGATATTCTATCAAAATGCCAAGCGAATGTTATTTTCCAGAGCAGATATATGGCATTAATTATTTACACTGAAATGACGCAGGACCCTCACCAATGACACTCTCCACTTCCTCTGGTATGTCATAATCCTCTTCCTCCTGTCCCTCTGTGTCCATATGGGTCGTCACAGCATCAGTCACTGAGGACTGAGACTTGGACAGGTTCGCAGCCAAGGAGCGACTTCCTCTCTGGTACCTGCAAGAAGTGCAGTGAGTAATTGTTTTGAATGATGACAAATACGTTTTTTTTTTCTGACTGACCTCCAGGAAGCCAAACGTGGCTTGAGGAAGGTGAGACCAAGTCTCTGGATTAGTTTGATGCTGAGCTTCCGCAGCATGGCCTGACTGCTCTGTAACAGATTTTTCTGCTCAATCTTGGACAGAACTACAGGAGCTAGGAAACAACAATATTACATATTAATATATTCAAAAATATGGGATCAACAGAAAAAGAACAACTCAAATTAAACCTCCATGTGCATATTTTCAAAAACGAACATCAGGAGCTTCTAAAGAAGAAATGTTTAAATGATTACATTATAATTATATTACTTAGGGAATTTACATTTAATCTTAGAATCTAATAATCTTCTTAGTTATGAATATCCTAGTAATGAGCTGACATGGTGGTCAGCCTGTAAGACCATCTTGTGGGGAACTAAGGGAAAACAGTGAATTAATAAAACTTATGTCATAAACAGAGGATCCTACCGTACTGGAGGAGATCCTCTCGTTTCCCATGTTTGAAAATCTTTGCCTGAGGAGACACGTTGAAAATGACCGAGTCAGTCAAGTGCAGACAAAGCATGACGACATCATGAATTACAGTAAATAATTATGAAATACCAGCCGTTTTTAAATCCTGCTCATACATATGATTCATTGGTGACTGTTTTCAATTTCTTCTTCTTTTTTTTTTCATTTAGAAGTCAAGACCTTGTGTGGCTATAGCTGAACAACATGACAGAACAGTCACATGGTTCCTGGGGGGCAAAATGCATGACCTCAAAATGCATGACCATGATTTATTACACAAAACAGTATCTGCAATGACAACAAATTTAATTTGATATGTTCCCCGAAACAAAGTACCCACAATCCTTTTCCTGTCGAACCGTTTACCTTAAAGCTACGGATTAAACAGAGATAAGTCGCTGGAGGCAGAAGATCCCACACACAAAACAGGTGCATGTCACACCTGCCAGACGTGTTGTGTCAAACATACCAATCGTGTCAGCTCTTGTGAACAACAGGCAGCAGGTTTAGTCGAGCAGGACACAGAGATTACACTAAAACAAACAACACACACACCAAAACCAACTGAGCACGAGTGTCATCCTGTGTTTATTACCAGGGCCTGGAGGACACCGTCCAGCACCATCACATCTTTGAGTGACTCCTCACTGGTCTGACCAATCAGGGTGTAGCTCCAGTCAAAAAAGTCTTTCAGGTGCTTCTTCTTCACGTCAGGGCGGGTCATGAATCTGTTCAGTCACGTACAATAAAACAGGTAAGAATACAAAAATATTCTCCTGAATTAACCACAGCAGTGGAGACAATAAGAGAACAACACCACCCTCTGGTGGCTAGAATAATAGCAAAGTCGTGACGTACGTTTTAAAAAACTAACACTACTGGGTTCTCCGATACATATTTAAAGTGTGTCCGATGGAAATACCGTGCAGGATTTTATCAAATTCCAAACTTCATAATTTTCTTTCAGGTTTACTCACTTTGATACCAGCACAGATGCAGCGTTTCGTGGTGTGTCACTCACGACCATGTAAGACTGAAATGAAGAAAACATTTGTTGTAGCTTTTCAAAACATGTAGCTTTTCAAACAACCCAATAATTCTTCAGACTGCATCACAATCAAATTGGCTATAATGAAACAATGATCAAATTACATAAACTTAGCGCAAAGCCTAAAAATACAGATGACTCTTTTTGAGCATACATAAAACCTACCTTTGCCATATTTAATATTTGGTCCATAACTGGCTCTTTATCTTCACCACCATCTGACTTCAGGTTGCCATCCAGGCGGGAAAGGTCAAAGGGTATGAGGCAGGTCATTGACAGCCATAACAACAGAATGTAACGGGTTTCCCAACTCTGCCACAAACGGTGGAAGAAAGTTAGTTAGCAGAAAGATAAGATGTGACTTGAGATATCTGTTATTTTTACCCAGAGTTAGTAGCACCAGTGTTACCTCAGGATCTGTGGGATCTTGTCGGGACAGCAGGTCCAAAACTGGCTGGAGATCAGCTACTTCATGAGGCAAAACATGCATGAAGATTTTAAAGCCTCTTACCTGGGGAGGGGAGATGACTTAGTCACATGAATGTGTTGGTTTTGGACAGTGTTATATCACATCATTCATTTTGTTATGACATCATTGTTTCATGTGGTAGGAATAAGTTGGAACAGTTCACACAATAAGCAAGAACTGAAATTACACAAATGAAATTACACAAAAACTCCATTTGAAAATAAAGAGTCCTTTGGCAGAACAAGATGAACATGAGAACGACAGAACTGGGATTCCTCTCTGCACTGCAGTGTTTTCTGACTGGGCAGCAGACTGAGCAGCAGTGCAGTGTATTTACAGACCTTTGAGATGATGTAGAGAAACCTGAAGCTCAAGTGCAACAGTGATGTGGGAGACTCCTCATTCTTTACATAATCCAGTAGCATGTTCGTCATCCACTCTGATACAAAATTAGAGAGAGGGTGCTTTTTAAAAATGAATGAATTAATCTCCACTCTGAATCAAACTTCAGAAAAACAGAGACTACATTTATACCTAGGTGTGGGTCCAGGAGATGCGGCTGCTCTTGGTAAACATTCATTATCACTGTAAACACAGAAGGCGATAGACCAGGCACAGGATGAAAAACCACAAACAGTTAAAAAAACAAATATGTTTTAAGTGCATTTATTGACAACAACACAGTGTATCTGTGATCTGTGAACTGTTAAATCTACCAAATGATAACCAAAATGAATGCTAACGACTAGTCTTCACGTATAAAGGTGATTAAACCTAAGATGAACCACAAAATAATGAAAATAAAAGAACAACAGTTCTGACAGAAACCTTTTACACACTATCACAAAAGACAGTGATCTCTGTTTCTAAGAAAACAGTAATTAAGATCGATCTTTTAGTTTTCTGTTAAACTGTTTTTTGTTTATTGTTTATTTACACATATGCAACCCATATCGCCCCGTAGGGAAAATCAATCAAGTATTTCTCATTTAATTTCCGATTAAATCCAGTCGAGTGTTCTGCACAAAAGTGCGTGGACCCATGTATATAACCCATATATAAATTTGTTCTCATGAGGCTAAAATGTTGATTTGTATAAAGGTTAAACAGGTAAATAACAGATTTAGTGTCTAGTGACGTTCGTGTGTCTCACCCAGAAACCTCTGTTCCGTAGACTCTCTTGCTATATCTCCATGGACCTTGGGTAAACTTGCGATCAGATCTCTGGTCTCGTCGCTTTCACTAAAACCGCTCAAGACACAAGCGGTGACAGCGTCGCTATCTCCTCCTTCACCACCGTTTGACATGTCCATTTTCTAATCCGTTAACCCGCACAGGTCCTCTAAATCACGGCTAACTATAAAAGTCTTATGATAGAGACGTTTGACGCAGTTAGCTTGTTGTCATTAGCCAATGACTGGGCGTGAGTGGGAGACTGTGCGTTTAATGCGGAAATTAACATAGGTTTGACTAGACAATTTAACCTGTAATTACAGTCGTTTAATAAACCTGAAGAATTCCGAATGGTTAATTTCTTTCCCCCGTTTTCATCCACAGTGGTGTTGTGATGCTCCAGCAACAATGTGTCAACTTGTCGCTACACCACGCCCCGGTACGGAAAGCGAGAAATACCAAAAGAGATAAAGCTGCGATTTTCTTTTTTTAACCTTTCTACATTTTATTTACTGGTTTTAAAACGCAGTTACTGTTATTCCAATCGCCACATTTCCCTTTAATTATTTGGTCAATTGCAGTCTTCTTTTTAGTAGTATATTATCTGATCAACATGAAGCACGACATGTTCCACAATCAATATCTTGGCATGATTTATAAATCAAAACAGCTCAATTTTTTGTTTATTTTTTTTTTAGATTTATCTCAAACAACTCGAGTCCATTTTTAAGTGATTCAATATAAATTTACTTTTTTATTTATTGTCATATCAAAACTCCTTTGATGACTCTCATTTATGGCTTTCATGAGCTGTGACGTGAGAATAACTCATGTCAAATAGGGGTCCAACAAATGATTTTTATTTTTTTTTGTCATTGTAACACGAGGATACAACAAAACGGAGCCTTGTTCTAACATTAAAACAAAGTCAGAGAGAAAGAACAGTATTTGGAGACACTAATGAAACCACGTTTGCATAAAGGACTGGAATTAGTAGCAAAGGAAAAGTGTGCTCCTGATGGGAAAATGACTGAGGCTGTGAGTGTAAGGGACAGTATAGAGACAATAAATTCAATCCAGTATTAAAAAAAACCCTTTTGTCCTTAGTAGGCAATATAATTTTGTTTTTTTGTTTTTTAAAGCACGTCACTTTTGTATTAGTTGTGTTCATGTCCATCGTGTGTGGACTTTGGAGGAAGAGTTGATAAAAGATTGTGAGACTTTTGACAAGACTGAAGTTAGAACTTAAAAGGACAGAGAAATGATCAGATGGTGGAAGTAATGCAAAAATGCCAACTGAAACCAGGAATGAAAATAATGACAAAATGATGTGCTCAAGAACAAATATTTCAGGCAGAATTTAATGACTTTTTGGATGAAAATGTCAAGTAACAGTGAATCCCTACAGTTAACATTTTCTATTTTAAAATGACCCTAAATACACACGCTTTTAAAGTAGAAAACATTCCAAAATTGTAAAAAAATGAGAGGTTGTGTATTTTTTTTTTGTTCATTAACATTTCAAGATACCATACAAAATAAAAAAAATAAAACTCTCTATATCCCAGGTTTTTACTTTTGGTCAAATTGAGGAAATACTGCATTTTATGTACATGTTTCAGGTTTAATCTAGCCAGCAATTTAAAGAACAAACCAAGCTGCACACCTATTGTATCAATATACAATTTAAGTCATTTATTGGAAGATGTTTTTGTGACATGTTAAAACACAGAGATATGTTTGTTTCTCAATAATACCTATTAATCTTAATAGCAGATGTCATTATATACTTATGCTTAAGTTTGATGTGTGCATATTTCGACTAGTGCAAGCATAAGTATTATTTCACAAGGTTTTTCATTATTCTTATTGAAGACCCTCTGTAACCACCACCAAAGTGGTTCCAGTGATTTACATAATGGAAGAGTTGGTAAAGCTGGTTTCTATTTGCAAAGCCTGATGCTTGGGGAATTTTTGTATGGTATGCAGTGAAAAATGATTCATCAAAGCCACCAAACATCTTGGAAATACTCAGCTCAAACTCTGAATGGCCGTAAAAGGAGGCAGGGTCAAAGATGACGGGGCCTTCAGCACACTCTGCCACATTGCCTCCCCATAAATCCCCATGGAGGAGAGCTGGAATAATCTCCACATCTTTGAAAAACTGAGGGATCTTGAGCTGATAAAAAAACAGGACATATGCTGTAAGTTGCATTTTCAAACTACTGAGTGAAACACTTGGTGTAAGACTGGTCACCTGAAGCTGTGCCCACAATTCTCGAGCTTCCCTGTCACCATAGGTGCTTTCCAACACACTAAGCTGGTACTGAAGCCTCTGCTGGGAGAAAAATGTCACCCAGTCATCTTTCCACTCATTCATCTGAAAAGAGAGAGTCAGACAGACACTACTGTACATTACAGTCCAAAACAATGCACTTTGTATTTTCATACAGTTTAAATTTGTTTCCTCAGAACTTAGTTTTGAAAAATACAATTTCATGTTTTTATGAACATTTCCTTCATTGTGTGTGTTTTAATTTTACCAGTGGTAGGTAGCCACAGCATGTGTTTACACTGAAGCCAAACTTCTCAACGGCAGTGACATCCGACTGGCCAGGACCCTTTCCTGTTTAAAAGCAGAACAAGACTTTGAGAGCCAGAAAACTTTTAACAAGAACAGAACAATGGTACAGACTTCATACTTATTCAAAGGGTGTATCCATATTGATGTTATTGTCAGTGGTACTTTGGATAAATTGAGTGTTGTTGTACAGACATACCCACAGTCTGCTGCTCTGTACTCAGTTTTTCCAACAGTCTCTTGTTGTGAAGATGCAGATCTGCTAACTTCTCTCCCAGCTGTATGGAATATCTATATCATCCAAATAATTTGAGATCAAATAATAACAAAATATTCCACTGTAACATTTGGACCTCCACTTGAAGGATATGGTGATGTGTTCATTTACAGGTGTGATTACCTGGGAAATGTACAATGACAAAAAAGATGCTTTCTTCTCTTTATAGTCTATAAAGTTTAAGGTCTGGCCAACCTTTCATGGAAAAATGTTTGAGTGTAGTTCAAGGTGTACAGAATTTTAATATAAAAACACCACCACTGTCTAACAATTTCCAGAGAAGAGCATTTAAACAGGTTCTTACACCATCTAAAGGCAAGTGAGGGAACTACAACATTCCTGCATACCTTACTATTTGAATGACAATACCCTTACTTGGTAAGGTGTCTCATATCCAGATGTTCCATCACAAGTACACATCCTCCTTTGTCAAGCTCAATGACCTTAATCGGTTTGGGTACTTTAATAGTTTCTGTCTTTAGAATGGCTTCCAAGCTGGCTTTTTCTCCATCAAACATCCGTTTGGCCTGAAGAAGACAATCACCATCGTAATGGGTTATGGAGAGTGTGTTTAGCCAATAAATACACGATTGTATCTAGCTACAGGATTCGTTTCGGGTTTTTTATTCGTGGTACAACTGGGCTTCAGTTGCACACTGATAAAGATTTCGGTGTTTAATATATTTGATATATTAGTAACGGAATCACATAAATTACCTCGCTTTTGTGATTAATCTTTACAAACACTTTCCCAGTGTCTGTGTCATAACTCTGTCCCTCGCTGACACATCCACTTCCAGCGTAACCAGTTGATTTCAGTTTTCTCGTCCCCAACTCCTTCTTTAATTTTTCTTCCATTATCTATTATTAAATGGTAGCACTGCTGTCGCGGTGAAGGCAGTGTTGGTGCAGTGTTCCAGATATTTAAGGGGAGTTTCAAGTGTTTCCCCTGGTTATGTAGTGTACACTGTAAATAAGTGCGCGGCACGACGGTTGTTGTTTTGCTTCCGGTTTGTGACGAAAGGTTGAACAAAAACCAATCGGAAGCAAGACGAAGATGACTAATGTTTATTTTGTCCAATCACAGTGACACCTTAAAACGCGATTATCGTGGTTGTTCCGTGAGCTGGTCATCGGCTAGTAAACAGTCCACCAGCTACTGCTGTTATTTTACTCGTCGAACCCCGAGAAAATGGCCAAAAATGAAACTTGCTTGATTCTCGGGGCAACAGGCGTTGGAAAAACGTTACTGCTTAAACGTCTGCAAAATATCCTTTACGTTCGGTGGATAGTTTTGTACAGGAAATAGTTACATTTTACGGAAACATTTACCTAATGCGGGGTTATTACACTGTATATAACAATATACAACAGTTAGCTTAACCTTTTGTGTAATTGCTTTTTACTTATTTATTTTGCTTTTTTGTTGATTCGTTTGAAAACATGGTTGCATGCCCAAATTACACCACCATCGTTGTTGCATTTGTGTGCTATTTAAGTACAGTATTACATTTCACAATCCGAATAGTTGGTCCTATAATAACAAAATAATAGTTGAAGACGCTGTTTGTTTAGAGATAATAGTCAACTAATATTCATTTGTTGGAGCAGGGTCATACGTACAATATTGCATGTAATACTGTGTAATTAATACTTGAGGTTACATGTGTACATTTTTGTCATTGTTTGGACAAATAAATTGGACCACATGATTCTTACCTTAACTTGATTGTTTACAGCCAATTGTTTATCCAGCAGGTGAACTGGAGTTACCTTCTTCTACTCTGCCAACTGTAAGCCATCAATTACTGTAGTTTATAGTAATTTTTCCTAGCATATTATAGCATTTATCTTCCTGTGCAGGTAGGAACTAATCTGACAGACCTGACCCTGAAGAAGAAGTCAGTAACTGTGAGAGAACTGGGAGGCTGCATGGGGCCCATCTGGCCCAGTTACTTCAACGACTGCTCCTCTGTCATAGTATGTTGTTCTAACACCACATAAGCAGCATCAGCTTGCACCACTGTTTCTAACTGGATATTTTATGGTGTCCCCCCTCACAGTTTATAGTTGATTCAGCTAACATTGCTCAAGTGTCCTCGTCCTGTGTCCAGCTGTTGTCCGTCCTCTCTGCTGAGCCTCTGCGCAGTGCCTCTGTACTGATTCTTTTCAACAAGAGGTAGCCATAGATTTAGAACCAATTCAAACAATATTACACATAACACAAAGGTGTCACCCCAGTTAATGGAATCGGATTTTAACTATTTGTTTTGTCTGCCTTTTCTTTAGAGACATGCCCAGTACTATGAGTCTCACTGAGATGAGGTCACTGTTCAGAATGGATGATATTGTTGCATCTGCTCCCCAGTCAATCACAATACTGGAAGGAAGTGCCCACACTGGACAGGGCCTTCAGGAGGTGCTCAACTGGCTGGAGTCTGTTGCAATCAAATGATGATTACTTGTAGGCATCCTGTTGTCTTTTAAAGTTAGATCATGGCCAAGGACATCAGTGACGTCAATGCAAAGTCAGTTTATAGTTTATCAACAGTGAACTGGGCTGACAACCTAACCATCAGCTGCTGTAAAGCTGACTGTTCTCACTCAGAGGGCTGTGGTCCCGAAGACCTTTCATACTGTGGTGATATCACTGCTGTTCTGGTTTTGATTGGATTACTGGGGCAACAGCATCTCATTATGACACACTGAAGAAGGTCACTGCTTCTCTGAGATGTCTCCTTCACGTGGTGGGAGCGAGGAATGAGGTTAAAGGTGTTCTTATAGAGTATTTATCTCATGGACAATGACTAATTCAAGATGTGGGGCACACTATCAACAATAGACCTCTCCTTCAATGTATTTAAAAATAGTTGTGTGTATCTGTATGTATAAAAACTAAAATTAAATGAAATTAAAAACAAATCTAAGAAAATATTTTCTTTCCTGCACAATTGTTTGGATTTCTGCTCCAAGCTGCTCATTGTTTACATGTGTAAAAGCACATATAGTACTGAGATTTTCATAGATAACAGACACACACACCACTGAACTTACCATTTGCTACTAGACTTAAAATTGGCAAAAGCTATCAGAAATGTAAAAAACAAACAAAATAAATATCATAAGAAGAGGAAAATGTGTGAAGACTTCCAAACTCCAGCAACACTTGCAAAAAACATGCAAGCAAATTAGACAGCTTTATTGTAAAGACTGGGGCATTTTTGATTGTGGCAATTTAATAAGTAATGCTGCATGTCTTATCTGTAGATGATAATAATAACGTTGGCCTTCAATAAATACATTTCCAGACATTGAACTGCAGGACGTGATTTTTGAACATGTCCATATTGGAGAAATCATTCATGCAAATCTAGGACAGGATTAAAAAACGTATGATTTTTTTTTTTCACATAATGTGGAAAACAAAAGTTAACCAAAACGCAGTACTACTGTAAATGGTAGTTGTTTGTAGTACTAAGGCATTACCAGTAGGGGGCGCAAGGAGCATAACAAACTGATCTTAGCTAATTTGTGATGACGTCATGGTGACTGCGTTCACTGTAATAGTGCAATTGCTGAACAGAATGTCCTCCAAAATTACAGCGTATTTGTGATTTATATTTCCCTAAAGTTATTTCCATGTGTTAATAGTTTATATGAGATTTCAAGATTTCATGTGCCTGACTTTAAAAAATAGTTTCCAATTATTGGAAGTGTTTATGTTTGGGGTGTGTATGTGACATCAGAGCCAACTGGACAAACACTGAAGTGAGCTGTTGACTCAGAAAAGCTGATAATTGGGGGGGGGGGGGGGGGGGGGGGAGGGGGGGGG